GTAAGGCACGATGAAGCAGGAAGCTCCGACACAAAGGCAGCAGAGAACTTCATCGGCGACTTCAAGAAACTCGTAGATTCTGTGGGTTACCTGCCGCAACAGGTTTTTAATTGTGACGAGACGGGTCTCTTCTGGAAATAGATGCCGAAGCGAACCTATATAACAGCAGAGGATAATGCATTGCCCGGCCATAAGCCAATGAAAGACCGCCTCACGCTGCTATTTTGTGCCAATTCAAGCGGCGATTTGAAAATTAAACCGCTGCTTGTTTACCATTCAGAAACTCCACGAGCTTTCAAGAAGTGTAAAGTCCAGAAGAGCAGGCTAAATGTGATGTGGAGGTCCAACAACAAGGCTTGGGTGACACGTGACCTTTTTACTGATTGGATCAATGAAGTGTTTGGTCCTTCTGTGAAAAAATATTTGCTTGAGATGAATCTGCCACTCCATGTCTTGCTTGTTACGGACAACGCTCCTGCCCATCCTCCAGACCTACAAGATGACCTCCTTGAAGAATTTAAATTCATCAAGATCCAGTCTCTGCCTCCCAACAGCACTCCGTTACTCCAGCCTATGGACCTGCAGGTTATTTCTAACTTTAAGAAGCTGTACACTAAAGCACTCTTCGAGCGTTGATTTGAGGTGACTGAAGGGACCAATCTCACTCTCAGAGAGTTTTGGAAATATCACTTCCACATCGTTGCCTGCCTCAAGATGATCAGAAAGGCATGGGAAGAGGTTACCAAGAGAACCCTCACTTCTGCTTGGAAGAAGCTTGGCCGGAGAGCGTTGTCGAATGTGACTTTGAGGGGTTTGGGATGGTACCTGTGGAGCCTGTAGTCAATGAGATTGTGTCTTTGGCCAAGATCGTGGGGCTGGAGGTGGATAACAATGATATCGATGAGCTTGTGGAAGAGCACAGCCATGAGCTGACCACCGAAGAGCTTATGGATTTGCATTGTGTTTCACAGCAAGAAGTTGTGGAGGAGAGTTTGTCAGAGGAGGAGGAGGAGGTAACAGCAAAGCAACAATCTTCTGGCGCAATAAGAGAAATGCTGAAAGCATGGGAAACTGTTGCATTGTACATTGAGAAGCATCACCCTAATAAGGCAGTGGCTATGCGCGCTACAAATTTATTTAATGATAATGCTGTGTCGCATTTTCACCAAATTTTGAAGCGTCGGCAAAAACAAATGTCTATAGACAGCTTTCTGGTAAAAAATAATTAGATATGTATCATAAATAATAAACTAATTATTTCAATTTTTTTTTCTGCAAATCGAATTCGCATTCCAGGTTAGTTCATTCCGCATAGAAGAAAAGATGAAGATGATTCACGCTCCTTAACAATGTATATACAATTTTCTTTGAATAAACGTTATACATATTTTTTTTTTTAATATTTTTTTTCGGCGTGGAACGCATTATCGTATTTTACATTAATTTATATGGGAAAAATTGTTTCGCTTAACGAGTGTTTCGCATTACGAGTAATACTCTGGAACGAATTGTGCTCGTTAAGCGAGGTTCCACTGTAATTAGCTTATGGATCTTAGAATGTCGGTAGCATAGTTGGCTGAGGCATTACGCCACAAGCCGGAAGGCCGCGGGATCCATTCCCGATGAGGTAGATTTTTCAATTTACCTAATCCTTCCAGCAGAACTATGGTCCTGGCTTCGACTTAGCCTCTAAAAGAAATGAGTATCAGGAATATTCTTGAGGGTCAAAGGCGGCCGGCTCGTAAGGCTGAAAATCTCACCGCCATCTAAGAACTGATTGTCTAGAAAATGTGGGAGCTTCAACATCTCACAACCCTATGGGCCTCCATGGCCTGTTACAGGGATAGATTTACTTTTTTTTTTTACTTTATTGATCTTAGAATGTAATATTTTACCACCTGCTTGAATCAGTTCCACCGGAATTTGATCACTACCTGGCGATTTTTAACTTTTCAATTTTGCAATAACGATTTCAACCTCCAAAGGGCTAGGATCAGGTACTAACGGTTCAGCTATATGTATTTATATCTACCTAATATCACTGATTCTATGTACATCCATGTGTTACTCCATAGATATACATATACACAGATATAAAGACGTAAATTATTATACAGTTTTTTAATTTCTTCATGTCTTACATTATACTATTTACTAATTATAAATTACTTCCACTATTGTACTCCTCATGTTTGTGCGTATACCTATTGTACAGTATGTATATCTCTTGATATGAATGCTTTATATTTTAACTCTATTTCACCTTGTCTTTGTGGTTTATTTTAATTGTCTTATGGTAAATTGTGTGTTTTTGACGTGTTTTATATTCACTGCTGACAAGCACATCTATGAGTCATATATGTATATATGTGTGTATGTAGGCGTGTACGTACGTATGCATGCATGCATGTACGTATGTATGTAATGATCCTGAACCTCCCATGCTCGCAAGATCCATCTTAATGTTATCCTTCCGCTTTCTCAGCCGTCCGACCATTAATTTTCTACAAGGTTTCTCGACCATAATTCTGTATATATACTCCTTGTTTCTCTAAACATGTCCACGCCATCAAAACTTCCTAGATTTATCTGCTCTACCAGTATTAGGTAACCTGCACAAATCAAAAAGTTCTTTAGTATGTAGTAACATACATAAAAAGAGACATTGCCAGAATTCTTTCTTTTCGTAATTTCATCGTGAGTCCTATTTCTGTTTCTTAGTAATTTTCACAAGTTTGTGCATTTTGATATGTCCTCAATTGATGACTATTGCTCATTCTCGTTTCCCATGTTAATATGTTTAGTTTTATTAACGACTGGACAGTATCTATTTGATGCCTCAATCCGATTTTCTGCTGGAGATTGTCATTATTTGCAGACATATATTTTCTAAATTCGTAAGCGTTTCTTAGAGGTGTGAGGTTCAAGGCCCACTTAATATTTTGAGAGAGTAGTTTGAGAATAAACGTAAATATGGCGTTTACCATAATTTTGTTACATGCACGCTCTTCAAAACCTGAGAAGTCAAACATTTCCTGTCGACCTTACTCATTCATGTTCTGCCTTCATTCGTTAATTTACTTTTCTTTCTTATTAAAAAAGAAGTATGCATGTAAGATTACCATGTTGCCTGTTTCCGTCTTTCAACTTTTGAACTGGTTGGCCGATATTTACGAAATTTGATGTGAATATTTTGCCATATGACGCCACCCCAGCATCATATGTTTTAATTTCCTACACTCAGCAAAAACAACATAGTGAACGCACGAATTATGAGGTGGGAGCGAGTTATTTGGTCTCTTGTTTATAGACCTTCAAAAGCGTGAAACATGTTAAGGCAAATTTCTGGCAGAATGTAAAACAAGAAAATGGGAGCTGCATGAAATCCACATAGCTTTCAACGTGGTGGCAATTACTAATTAACCTCTAGAGTAAGACATGTAAAATTTGATATCTTAATTGCGGCTGACCACCACCCACCGTCCAGTGCCGAGGTTAAGAATGCATGGAGCTATTTCTCCATTGCGTCATACATGTTTAAGGTGTAATGCGTAATTAAGTACAGGAACTACTACAAAGAATTGCCAAGGTATGTACCATATCATCATCATCATCATCATCATCATCATCATCATCATCATCATCATCATCATCATCA